GGGTAATTCTAAAGTAGGATTATAACCAATTGGAAGATAACGACAGATTATTCTATCAGTATTTTTAAGGTGTCAGTATAGCATTTTTAAAACCACCTGACGACAAGCAAAATGTAACACCAATTTAATATTTTTCTAAGCTTATGAAGTTTCCCGGCACCCTCCTCTCCCTGTCCTTAAATATATGTGATGGTGTTATCTGCCAATGAACAATAATCAGTTATAGTGGGTAAGGCATCCCATAAAGAGAGGGAAATAGTTGTCTGTTGAAAAGTTGCTATCCCTCAGGGACAATTTCTAAGTCATTACATCCGTTTAAGTACTTCTCCCACACAGTTAATACAAGTCTGACATTTACTTTTCTGCTGTAGCGGTATACACAAATGCACTGAAAGAATAAATCAAAAGCCAAACTGAGTTCCACACTGTAGCTTCTCAGCCACCTCGTCCAAGGTAAGAACAGATGATATATTCACAAGCATTCTTACAGTCAAACACTGTCAAGATATTTTCATTTCTGACACCGATGGTAGCGAGGAAAGGAATCCCAAATCTGTTCTTGTCACTGGGAAAGCAGGAATCGGAAAAACGCTGTTTTGTCAAAAGTTGATTCGAGATTGGGCTGACAACAAATTGTTTCTCTCACGAACAAATTTGTGCGATCCTGATTTCAAGTTCGCTTATCTGTTAACATTTCGTCAATTGAGTTTACTCGAAAACGACTGCGTTACCCTGAGGGAACTCTCCAATCGATCTTCAGTGCTAGACGACCGCTCCAGTATTTACAACTCTTTATTTGAGTACATTGTTGTTCATTCTGAGGAGGTTTTGACTATCTTTGACGGGTATGACGAGTACGCCAACAGTAATTTATCGCAAATGATTTGGATGACCAAATGACGCTCATAAGCAAATGCCAGTAGCAGCTCTGTGTGCCAAGCTACTTAAAGGGAATATCTTGAGAGGCTCGGTTGTCATGATAACATCAAGACCCAATGAGTCTGATGAAATCCGAGGCAAAATTGGTTTTGTCCGGTGCGTGGAAGTTACATGATTTTCCGAGCAACAGGTAAAGGAATACATCGAGAAGCATTTTGAAGAAAATGAACTTATGAAGAATGCTGTAATGGATTACATCACAAAGAATGACAATCTTGTCAGTTTTGCCCAAATTCCAGTCCTTTGTTTTCTAAAGTGTTCGTATTTTGAGTACATCTTAATGAATCGATGAATACTGACGCTCTCCCCGTCAGTATTAGTGATATCTATTTTGAAGTGGTTGATATGTTTTTGAGGAAACATTGCAAAAAGAGGGGAACCCCTCCCAAAGTAACACTACAGAAGTTGTCAAAGTTGGCATATGATTTTTCTCTTAAAGAATAAGTTTCACTTTGCTGTCGAAGAGATGAAGAACTTTACTCTGGAAGAAGTCGAAAGTCTGAGAGCAAGCTGCCTCCTTTAATGTGGTCCTATTTTTAGAAAAACATTTTCTAAGACGAAGAAGTATTTTTTTTTCATACATTTAACTCTCCAGGTATACTTAGTGGCTCAGTGGTTTGTTGAGAGCAAAAAGATCCCTTCCCTCGGACATGTGTCACAAATGGTATTCATATTCATGTCTGGAATCCTATCAAAGCAAAACGACAAAGCTTTAATGCAAAAGCTGATTAAAAGACTCGATCCACGGCCCAGAGGAAACCTACTAACTTTAAAGTGTCTCACAGAGTATTAAGACAAAGAGCTTGCGCAGAGGATAGTTAAGACATATTATAATGCAGTATGGAACCGTAATGGAGACATTAGATTTGACTACGAGTTTAAACTCGACTGCATTGCTATGTCTTCTCTGTTGGATGTCATCAGCTCATCGAATATTGTGGAAACTGCTCGAAAGAATCAAACATCTTTCCAACAGACACCTTTGCCGTTGGTCAAACGGCTGAATCCCTTTAGGTGCACATGCTCTGGAAGGAATGCAGCGCAAACCGCTTATAGGAATCAGCCATCCCCTTAATTATCACGCACCTAAACGGTTAACGATCAAACGTGTTTCTTTATCTCAGACTGGACTAAGAAGAATCTTGACGAGGATTTTTGTCCTATCACTGAGCTAAACCTAAAGGATTTTTTCCTTCATGTATTTAGGTTTCTACGATTGGAGAGGTGTTGCCACTATCTAATTTACTTTAGATACACATTAAATCTGGGTGGTAATGAGATTACCGATGCTGGTGTTGTCAGTCTACGCCAATCATTACAGACAGCAACAAGTCAAGTCACCACATTAGATCTGAGCCACATTCAGATCACCGACGCTGGTGTTGTCAGTCTTTGTCAAGCATTACAGACAGCAACATGTCAAGTCACCAAATTAGATCTGGGTGGTAATGAGATTACCGATGCTGGTGTTGTCAATCTATGTCAAGTATTATATACAGCAACATGTCAAGTCACCACATTAGATCTGAGCCACATTCGGATCACCGACGCTGGTGTTGTCAGTCTTTATCAAGTATTACAGACAGCAGCAAACATTACAGCAAACTTTGTCAAACATTACAGAAAACAATAACGTAGCTCCATTCTCTGCCTTTAAAAGCACACACAACCCAAAATTCCTCTATTCGCTCCGACGAAGGGCTAACGCTCGAAACGTCAGCTTTTGTAATCGTTATGGTGGCCAATTTACCATTTCAACTTTGTTGATATATCCAAATTATTAATGGAAACTCCCACGGTCAGCTAACCCAAACATGTCTGTGATTTTTGCATTTAATACGCGGGCACTCCTTGCTAAAAGTAGAAGAAAAATAGCAGCAGTAGCAGCAGCAGTAGAAGAAGAAAAGATCTGAAACGTTGTAGTAGGAAAGGAGAATAAAAAGAGAAGAGTCCAGAGTCTCAGTACTTCTCGGTTAATAGCCAAGCGAGTGTTAAAACCCCCAACACAAGCATTACAGACAGCAACATGTCAAATAACCAAATTACATCTGAGTAACAATCGGATCACCGATGCCGGTGTTGCCAGTCTATGTCAAGCATTGCAGAAAGCATCATGCCAAGTTAGGTCATTAAATGTGAATGGTAATATGATGATCACCGATGCCGGTGTTGCCAGTCTATGTCAAGCATTGCAGACAGCATCATGCCAAGTTAGGTCATTAAATGTAAATGGTAATAAGATGATCACCAATGCCGGTGGGAGGCTCCTCCGTAATCTGGTGAAGAAACAATCGCATCTTGACTTGACTTGTTATCCATATCTATACGCATAGATGAAGTGACATACCACAAGTGCAACATCATTGATTTATAAAAATTCTTTCTCTTTTGGCCATCGTAGCTTGATAAGAAATAGCATACAAACTGCAGTTACAAATATGACAGTAAAACGCATGTTGAAAAACAAGATTAATAAACTTTATTTGACGTTTCGTATGTTTCAACATACATCTTCAGAACTGACAGTTAATTATACGCGTGGCAACTAAGTTTAAATTTAAGATAAGTGACTAATTAACATAACAACGAACAAAAGTTTAGAAGAAAAAATTTGCATATACAAAGATGCAAATTAATACAGATAAAGCTTATCGCTGCTGACATTATCGTTTAGAGTAGGTTCAAGTTCCTGAATTAATAGAGTCTCCTTTATCACGCAACGAGTATCAGAACGACCTTTTGCCAATATCTCAAAGTTGTTCCATTTCATGTTGTGACCAGTTGACGTGACGTGGTCTGCGATAGCAGATGTATGACAGGCACTTGCGAGCCCTCTAAAATGTTCAGTTTTCCTGTCATTCAATCCAGGTTTCGTTTTTCCATTGTAAAAATCCGGGCAATGTAAAAATCCGGGCAATGTAAAAATCCGGGTAAGTTAGTTACTTATCTTAATAAGTATTTGGTAGCAAATGGAGTAACGCTTAAATTATCAACCAACAATGAACCCTGCAATATCATAGGAATTTTTATGTCAAAATAGCCATCAAGTAAAGCACAATTTGACAAAGGTGGAAAGTCCTACATTGAGCCACAAACCGTACTCTTGCTCTTAACTTCACCATTTTTTTAAATATTAATGAATTTATGGTAAACAGATAATCGCAATGGTCTTTTGTGAAAGAGCATCTCAATGTTTTACCAATTCCTTATAGTCCTCTGCTTTCAATTCCCTGAACGAGCACCCCACAACCTTTTCAGGAAGTCAGCTAATGTCCAGCCGGCCCGCTTTGTTTGCCAGCAGAGGGTATAAGAGGGGTCTGGCACGAGGCCTTCCCGAGAAGCCCACGAGATGTTCTTAAAGCAGCGCCAATGGTAGCCTACGAAGCGAGCCCTGGGGGAAAGGAGGGGGATTGGGGGAGAGGAATGTGCAGATGGGAGAGGGAGGGCTCACCACAGACCCCCACTGGGGGTCTGTGGCAAGCCCTCCCCTCCCCTCCGCACATTCCGCCTGCCTCAGTCCCCCCTCCTCTCCCCCAGGGCTTGCTTCACAGGTTACGCCAATGGGAGCTTACTCGCAAGAAGAGGCGCGAGATTCGCCACAAGTGATGTGCCTCTATTATGACGATGTCTATAGTTACTGCCTTTTTACAGATCAAAGTCATTACCACACGTTGTACAAAAAAGACTGGGTCTGCGCAAAGATCATGCTCTGCTAAACAAACAACCCATTGTGTTAATCAGTTAATTACGTTAATATTTTGAATGACAAGACTGATCACAACAATTTCCGCACCATAGATTTCAATGACATTTGAAAGCGGAGAGAAAATGACAAAACTCTTTGATACCAACGTGATAACTTGTTTCTGTGTGAAATAAAACCAGGAAAGGGTGCCTCATTCGTTGTAGTCATTAATTTATGGATGGTTTGATTTATTATTTGCTAAGTTGTTCAAGTTGTTTAACATAATTGATCGGAACGGAAAGTGAGGGGCACAAGGTTAGGATTTCGAAAGCGAAAGCCTTTAAATGCCATACTACTACTTTGCATATCTGCATACGCATGATTCGTTTGAGGCAGTATGAAGAAAGCTCACAATGTTTACCTTGTATGTCAGTTTCTTAACTGTTCTTGTTGCCATTCCTTCTCGAGACTCACAGAAGGTATTAAGCAGCTTGTAGAGGGATTAAAACTTGGCCATAAGGGAAAGGAGACTTTTGGACTCTTTGTAATTTGGTGATCTGGCCATCCGGCCCACAAGGTAAGACATTCATCAACAGATGAGTTCCATTTTCGAAAGGAAATCGATCCATTACTCTGATTATAAGTTCTTTTCTCATTTTCAATTGCGTCTTGTTCTCAACTTTATGATCTTCGAGTCTTCGGTTTTGTACACGAAGGGTAATCTAAATGAACGACAGAAACGGGCCGTAGGACTCTGACAAGAAAACGATTCAATAATTGTGTTTTGTCAAGGTTGTTTAAAGTCAGCGCGACAAATATAGCATGACACGGTTAATTCTGGTAGTAAATTGTTTTCACAATTTTATGCGTTTACATAGTTTTCTTTGTATACGAGCAGAATAAAAGGCGCGACCATCGAATAAGCGTTCGAAGTCATTATGAAAGAGGATAATTAACTATATTTATAATCTTTAATATTTTGCACCTAATTTATCGTTCGCTGATGGACGGTGATGTTACAAGTCGTGCTTGTTACACAACAATCTGAGGCTCCACCAAGAAACCAATAAGAGTTTTTTTGATAATCTACAAAAGCTTGTTTTTATGAGATATTACGTAATTTGCTATAAAC